AAGAGTCATCAACCAAATGGATTGCACATAATCAGTTAATGTAAATATTTACATTGGGAAGCACACAAGGGAAGACAATAAACCTGGTGGAAGGAATGACCAGAAGCAAGATGACCAGAAGCAAGATGGATGGATTCAGATATAGTGATGATGGGGGCATCATTGGGAGAATTAGGCAGATTGTCTTATTGAAGGTTTTCTTGGAGATCTCCTTGGATATTTTTGTTTTGGAGACCTTCTTGGAGAAGATCTTGATTGCAAAGGGTCAACGCCAACTTGTTGGCACATAATAATTCAATTAATCAGTGCAAAGACTCAGGTCATTGAGAAGTTCATAATGCTAGGAAAAGTGAAAGGAAAGAGAAAATGAGGACGACCAGTAGCAAGGTGGATGGGTTCCAATACAGCAAAAATAGGACACCATTAGATGGATGCATGGTTGGAAGATCTTAGTGATCTGGCTGAGACCAGATCCTTCTGGAGAAGGTTAGCTTTGTGGTTCCTAACTAATCTGATGGCACAAATCAGTCAATGTAAAGTTCTAGCTTTCTGGAGAAGGCTCCAGTATTGGGGGAAGGAAAGAGAAGAGGACAACCCGGAGAAGGTGGATGGACTTAATTACAGTGGACATGAGGGCCCCATTGAAAGATGCAAAGGACCAGGTTGGGAAAAATCATCTTGGAGAAGTTCAGTCATTAAATGTCAACAATGATGGCTCATTATTGATCAATCAATCAATACAACAACCCATTTTCCTTAAGAAGTCAACAACACTGGGGAAATACTTCTTGAGAAGTCTATAATGCTGGGAAGAATGCAAGGAGGAAAAGGACAATCTGCAGAAGGTGGATGGACTCAGTAACAGTGGAGATTGGGCACCACTGGAAGATCTGAAGGACCAGTCTTGGAGAAGCCATATCCATTTGTATTGTGAGAGTTGACAACGGTTTAATGCAGTGGTTCTCAACCTGTGGGTCGGGACCCCATTTGGGGTCGAACGACCATTTCACGGGGGTCGCCAAACAAGGCTGTCCGCCATTTTTTCCCCCTTTTCTTTGGCCATGCCCCTGGCATCCGGTGATGTATAAGTGGTTGGGGGTCACCACAACATGGGGAACTGTATTATGAGGTCGCGGCATTAGAAAGGTTGAGAACCACTGGTTTAATGGAATATAATCCATCCTTCCATCTGCCTGTACTTTTGTTCACGTCCTATGTTAAGATTCTAGTTGATCTCTCACCACTTTTGACCCACAACCTATAATCTGAGGTTGTGTGAATCCTCAAGAAAGTACAGTTTCTTTGCATGTTTTCTACCCCTGCCTCCAGAAGTGGTGAATGCTCCAACACTGGACGTTTTTAAGAAGAGACTGGACAGCCATTTATGTGACATGGCATAGGGTTTCCTGACTGAGCAGGGGGTTGGACTAGATGACCTCCAAGGTCCCTTTCAACTTTATTATTGATCATCGCACAGTCAGCCAGATGTTCGGACTGGATTTGGCATTTTGTCTACCTATCGAGTCCTTACCCAGGACCTGGGATAGGCAGATATGGATGTTTGATGGTATTACAGATATCATCGCAAGATGGAAGCAGTTCCTAGTAAGGCCGCCTTTTGCAATTGACTAATAGCAAATTTGTCAATGCCAATGGTGTTCAAGTGGTGCTCCAATTGTTTTGGGATTGCACCCAAGGAGCCTATTACTATTGGTACTACCCTTGCTTGCTTTTGCCACAGTCTTTCTATTTCTATTTGTAGGTCTTTGTATTTTGTTATCTTCTCCAGCTCTTTCTCATCTATTCTGCTGTCTCCAGGCACTGCCACATCCACAATCCAGACTTTTTTGTCTTTCTTATCGACAATTGTTAAGTTTGGGGTGTTATGTTGCAGGTGCTTGTCTGTTTGAATTCTGAAATCCCAGAGCAGTTTAATTTTATCATTTTCTATGACTTTCTCAATTTTATGATCCCACCAGTTTTTGCTTACAGGCAAATGATATTTTTTGCAGATCTTCCAATGCACCATTGTTACTACTTTGTCATGCCGCTGCTTGTAGTCAGTCTGTGCAATCTTGCAACAGCTTACCAGGTGGTCCTCTGTTTCTTCAGCTTCTTTGCATAGGCGGCACTTATTGTCTGTTGCTGTCTTTTCAATACATTATTATTATTATTATTATTATTATTATTATTATTATTATTATTATTATTATTATTATTATACCTGACCATTGCTTGAGAAGAAACATCTCCACATCCCAAAGAAATCTCAATAGTGGCCAGCACCCATCCATACATCCCTGGTAGCAAAGTCATTGAAGATAGGTATCTCCACGTCTTAGAAAAGAACAGTCCCATTTGAGGTTTTATTCAACCTCAGAGGCATGGAGTGATTCTGCCATAAAATTAAAATATCATTTCCTTTGCTCAAAGGGAAAAAAACCCTGCTCTTCCCCCCCCCCCACAAACATAGGAAAACAAATTAAAAGTTCAGGGATCAAATGTTTCTAGTAATGCAGTTAGTGTTTTAAATAAACCGAGTGCCGAGTTTTAAATATCTACCCAAGTTGGATTCATTGTGGGATATTTAAAGCAGCAGTTCTTAATCTTTTTGAATGAATCGCTCCCTTGAGCCAATGAGGAAGTTGTCATCGCCCCCCTCCCCCAACATAACCTCTCAATCAGAACATAGGAAATAATTCTTTAATTTATGCAAACACTTGTTTTGTTTTCTTTAAAATTGTCATCAGGACATATCGATGCAAATAATTTATTTCCAGTCTTCTTCCCATATCTCAACTGTGTGAAAAATTTTTGGTGCCACCCGTCACTTTATTCCCAAACTTCGTGATACATGTATTTCATTATTATCTTGCTTATTCAAGACACTTAAATGTAATGACCACTGAAAACAAAATTCAATTGGAAGAAAGTGAAATGCCCGAAAAGAAAAACAGTAACATTTAATGATTGAATTACAAGTGAAATTTAAGATGCAAAAAGAAATATAAAAAGGGTAGAGGCTGCTGTGCAACGCACATGAAGATAAGCGATGCGTATTCACATATGTACGGTGTTCTGTACTGAAGCTAGCTGGAGGAACATTTGAAAACACAATTCAATCCACTAATAGCGAGCGATCTGATGTTTTTGTACGATAGATATGCAGCAATTCACTGTACGAAAAAGTCTCAAAAGTGTCCCCAAAACTTCTCGCTCCATCGCCCCCATATCACCCCCTTTTCATTCCTTCGCCCCCCTGAAAAATTAAATCGCCCCCTGGGTTTAAGAACCACTGATTTAAAGAACAGTTGGCTAATCATAGAAGAGTCGCTAGAGAAGTATTTTCTAGCCTTGTAAGATGTGTGGACTTCAACTCCCAGAATTCTCCAGCCAGCCACTACTACAGCATCCCCAAAGTCACATGATCAAAATTCAAAAGCTTGGCAGCTGTCATGTATTCACTGCGATCCAATTTACCAACTTTCTGACAAGCAACGTCAATAGGGAAACCTGATTCATTTAACAGCCATATTATTTATTCAACAACCACAAGAAAGGTCGTAAAATGGGGCAAAATTCACTTAATAACTGTCTCACTTAAGAACAGAAATTTTGGGGTCAATTGTGGTCCTAAGTTAAAATGTAGGATGCCTGGAAACCTTGTGATGCCTTATCTCAAAAGGCTGAGATCAAATAATATGGTGGACATAGCCTCCTGTGATTTTGCAGATTTTAACGATCTGGCATATTCTCACCCTTCACTAATACCTCCATTAAAAACATTGTGCAGATTACCTGAGTGTTATGACACAATGGGGTGTTTTTGTACAAGCGTCATTGTCTTGACATCCTTGGGACTTGGGACAGACCCCTGGGCACCAGTGGCCTCAGCTTAAGAAGATTACATTTCTTCTAAAACAGTGGTTCTCAACCTTTTTAATACCGCGACCCCCCCCAACCGGTCGTAAGTCAAGGACTACTCAATCGGTCGTAAGTCGAGGACTACTCTAGTGCTGCAGCACCGTTTGCAGAATGGGACTTTTGGCAGGCTCAGCAGGGCAGAGACAGCCTGGACAATTCCTATTGGCTTTTGAAAGCCAATAGAATTAGACTCTATTCAAGAGAGTCTCTTCTATTGGCTTTCAAAAGCCAATAGAATAAAAGGGAGAAGCACAGCTAAGGAAAAGGGGGAAAAAATGGCGGACTGCGTTGTTTGGCGACCCCCGTGAAATGGTCGTTCGACCCCAAATGGGGTCCCGACCCACAGGTTGAGAACCGCTGTTCTAAAAGCAGCTGTCCCATTGTTCAGCTGTGCTCCCAAAAATGTCTATGACATTATTGATGCCGCAAAAATGTCTGTGACATTTTTTTTGCCATTTTATGATATTTTCTGGCATAGAACACCTACTGAATAACCAGGTTCAGACTGAGCAACTATATAATTTGCTTAATAACTGCAGTGACCCATTTAATGACCATTGTACAAATGAAGTCCAGTCGTGGTGTCTCAAAGGTGCTTTTTCACAAGGCAACTGGATGTTCTTGTTTTTCTTTGAAGATATTTTGCTTCTCATCCAATAAGCTTCCTCAGTTCAGCCATGACCTGGATGACTGAGAATTAAATTCATTTGCAGAACAGTTGAACCTCCACTACAACAGAGGCTGGTCGCTCTCTGCACATGCTCAAGAGCCAGCTTACAGGGCTTTCAGCGCAGATCTCTGAAAAGGCGCTCGCCCTCCATCCCCACCCCCCATCCTTAAATGGAGATGCTGGTGGCTAATTACTTCTTAATAATTACTTCTCCCCACCTTAACTCCCCCCCAAAAAATCTGGAACTCGGCGCTATTTCCCCACGCAAGCGACTGGAGGGGGGGGGAAATGTCCTCTGCCCATGTTCAGAAGCCCCCGCACTATCCTGCGAATGAACCGATCTCCGTTTCTGGAAAGGGGCTGGCAGCCAAGGTAGGCTGCCTGCCTCCTGGCCGCAGTCGGTTCGCGGGACCTCGGGCGCAGATCGCGTCGCCGCGGGAACGAGCGAGGGAGGCAAACGGCCGATCGGGAGCCTCGGAACCGGGGAGAGAGAGAGCCCTGGTCCCCTTGCGATGCGCCCACGCAAGGGGGCAGCGGGACGGATGCCATGGGACCCCCGGCTCGGCGCCAGTGGAGACCCCGCACTCTGCGCACCGCGGCCTTTTTGGTGCTGCCCGTAAGTGGCCGGTGCGCTCCTGCTGTTTTGGGAGGGGTGGGGGAAGGGTAGAGAGGGAAGGGGTCCGTTTCATAATACTTTTAATCAGGGTGGGGAGGGAAGTGAGTCCCCGCACTGGCCCCCGTTTTATTCCTTTGCATAATCAAGTTTCTTCTTTCCCTTTTCCCACCGGCTTAAAGGAGCCCTTTTGGCGAGACGCAGCTGGTGTTGGCATTGCTGCGGAGCTAGGGAGGCGTTCTTCACATGAGCAGAGGTCCGGTTGCCTCTCTGTATGTGTGTGTGTTTCTGTGTAAAGTAGTTGGTTGCAGCCCGGAGAAGAAGAAAAAACTTAGTGTTCAGTTCTGAACATTGACTTAGGTTTTTTTCCCCTTTGATCTTCAAAATAGAATCGGAAATGAAAGCTTTCTGTTTTTCTCCTATCTCAAAAAAAAGAAAAAAAAAAAAGAAATATCAAACAGAAAGAAGTCTCTTTTGAATCTTGGTGGTTTTGGCTGGGGTGGGGAGAATGGCTCAGCAACTGCAGAAGTTAGTAGTTTTGCAAAAGCCACTGGAAGAAAAAGAGTCTGGATATCTTGTGGCCTGTTTTTTTTTAAAAAAAACATTATTATTATTATTATTATTAGTAGTAGTAGTAGTTAAACTTATTAGCCTCCCATTTTTTATTTAATGCCCTGATGATTTGTGAAACTAGGGACCAAACAATGCTATTTGCATTGAAGGAATGATCAACTAAGTAAAGAGGCCCATTCAGACAACCCGCTCAGTTTCCAGAAAAAGCAAGCAAGTTTAACATTAACCAGATTTAAGCATGATGTATCTCTGTGGAAACTCTGCCTCTGCCCTGATTAAGACTGCTAAATGAACACAATCATTTCCTTCTTTTACAAGTATGGAAAAAATTCAGGCTGTAGAATGAATGCATTTAATCCCCTGGCTATTTTTGAAGTGGAGATCATTAGAAAATGTATACCATCAGAGCTCTGGATTTTCAGTCCCTGGATAAAAGAGAAGAGTTTCTCTGAGCATGTACGAGTGTCATTCCAGCTATGGGAATGTTTGGGATACGTGCTTTTTGGGACCGGACCTATTAAAAGCGTTCAAATTATAACTCTGACCTTAGAACTCTGGTGTATGCATTGCATTCCATAGTTACAAAACAAAACAAAAACAGTTGTTAAGTGAACCCCTGCAGTTGTTAAGTTAGTAACAAAGTTGTTAAGGGAATCTTCCCCATTGACTTTGCTTCTCAGAAGGTCACAAAAGGTGGATCACGTAACCCAGGGACACTGCAACCGTCATAAATGTGAGTCAGTTGACAAGCCTCTGAATGTAAATCAGGGGGTGATGCCACAATGGTCATAAGTGTCAAAAATGGTCATAAGTCACATTTTTCACTACCGTTGTAACTTTGAGTGGTCACTAAATGAACTGCTGTAAGTTGAGGACTACCTGTACACTGAGTTTGGGATGATGGTGGGATGCTTCAGGTTCACGTTAATAAAAAGAGGCAGGATAGCTTCCAAGATGGAAAAAGCAGCAAGTAAAATAGCCATGGGACGGTTGACGGTTGGTGCCTGTTAGCACAGAAGCAACAGCTGAAAGACAGATAATCCTTGATTTACGACCACAGTTAAGCCATAGATTTCCATTGGTAAGCAAGATTGTTGTTAACTGAGTCATGAACCATTTTACGACCTTTTGTGCCACGGTTGCTAAGCGAATCAAGAAATAATGGTTGGAAACTGACCAAAGAGAAAAACAACCTGTTAATCAGTGGAATGGCTTGCCTTCAGAAATCGTGGCCACTCCATCACTGGAGGTTTTTAAGAAGAGACTAGACAGTCACTTGTCTGAAAGGGTATAGGTCAGTGGTGGCGAACCTTTTAGGGACCGAGTGCCCAAACTGCAACCCAAAACCCACTTATTTATCGCAAAGTGCCAGGGCCACATCAGTATTGTGGTGCACTGGGGGGGGGGGCAGGGAGATGCCTCTGAGTGCCGCCTCTGGCACGCAAAAACCAGAGGTGCAAAAATGGACCACTGTGCTGCAAAGTGCTCTACCACCTCTACTTGAGCTTGCTAGTCGGCTGTTTCGGTGGACCTGCTGCTCGCGGTGGTGGTGCGCATGCCAATAGAAAGAGCTCTGAGTGCCGCCTCTGGCACACGTGTCATAGGTTCGTCACCATTGGTATAGGTTCTGCTGCTTGAGCAGGGGGCTGGACTAGAAGACCTTCCAACTTCCTATTCTATTCTATTCTATTCTATTCTATTCTATTCTATTCTGTTCTGTTCTGTTCTGTTCTGTTCTGTTCTTATTTCTATCCTATCCTATCCTATCCTATCCTATTCCTATTCCTATTCCTATTCCTATTCCTTATTCTATTCCATTCCAATATTATGTAAGTGGGTATAGGTTAAGGAATATATATAGACGAGTTTATGACATTTTTTGCTACGGTTGTTAAGTGAATCACTGCAGTTATTGAGTTAATCATGCAGTTGTTAAGTGAATCTGGCTGACCCAGATTCCCCTATTGACTTTGCTTATTGGAAATATAGGTAGTCCTTGACTTAAAACAGTTAATTTAGTGACTCTTCAAAGTTACAACGGCACTGAAAAAAAGGGACTTAGGACCATTTTTCACACTTATGACCATTGCAGCATCCCTGTGGTCATGTGATTAAACTTCAGATGCTTGGGAAGTTACTCATATTTATGAAGGTTGTGTGATTCCCCCTTTGCAACCTTCTCACAAGCAAAGTCAGTGAGGAAGCCAGGTTCACTTAATATCCATGTGACTAACTTAACAACTTCAGTGATCCACGTAACAACTGTGGCAAGAAAGGTCATAAAATGGAGCAAAACTCACTTAACAAATGTTCCCCTTAAGAACAGAAATGTGGGGCTCAATTGCGGTCGTAAATCGAGGATCTACCTTTAAAGGTCGCAAATGGAGATCGTGTGATTCCAGGCCCTGCACCCATCATAAATCACGCTGGTTGCTAAGCACCTGAATTTTCATGACATGGCAACACTATAATGGTTGTAAGTGCAAGGACTGTGTAAGCCTAGCATATGTAGTGTAAAAAAACTGTAAGCCACTTTTTTCAGTGCTGTTTGTAACTTTCAGTGCTAAATGAATGGTTGCAAAATGAGGATTATCTATAACAAGTTGCTGGTCTTTCCTTTCCTTCCACTATACCAAGCATTTTGGATTTTTCAAGGAAGCTGGGTCATTTCAGCTAGCTGGGGAATTCTGGGAATTGAAGTCCACCCATCTTCAAGTTGTCAGGGTTGAGAAACCCTACAGGCAGTCCTTGACTTACAACGATCATTGTAGGACCGAAGTTACAACGGCACTGCAAGAAGCGACTTAGGACCTTTTTTCACATTTATGACCATTGCAGCATTCTCATGTTCACGTGATCAAAATTCAGATGCTTGTCAACTAATTCATACTTATGACGGTTGCTGTGTCCCAAAGTTATGTGGTCCCATTTTGCAACCTTCTGACAAGCAAAGCGAATGGGGAAGCCAGATGCACTTAACTACCCTGTTACTATCTTAACAACTGTGGTAAGAAAGGTCATAAAATGGGGCAAAATTCACTTAACAAATGTCTCACTTAACAACAGAAATTTTGGGCTCAATTTCGGTCGTACATTTAGGAGACTATCTTCAGCTTACAGCAATGTCAGCAGAACGGTTAAAAGTCCTATGGGGTGGATTTAGAGGAGAAATAAACAGATTTGGTTTAGGGAGAAGTGGTTGGAACTTTTGCAAAATTCAGTGTTCGTGCTGAGAAACGCGTGGGAAATTAGAACAGGGTCTTCCCATCATCTGTGGATCGACCTGAAATATCTTACTGTTTTTGAGTCACACATGCAAAACTGGATTAGTGTAATACAGGGGTCTTCAAACATGGCCTTTTTAGGACTTGTGGACTTGTGGGGGCTAGAAAAAATAGCAGAATTTAGAATGAGAGAAGCTCAGATTTTTCCTCCCTCTGCTTTTCCACTGAACTGATCTTCTTTCCTGCTCTCATCAGCCCAGGTGTGCAAAGTCTGCACTTGATCATACATCTACAGTTTTTAATTCCTTCATGTCAATGCCCCATGGATTGCTGCCCCCTTTCTCTCTTACCCCAAAGAACTAAAACGCCACTAGTAGCCAGAAAATTGCTCATCTTGATTGATAACGGGCCATCTTAACTCTTAGTGACCACATCGATCTATCTTCTCCTGGAAGGTCTATTCTTATCCTGGTACTTCAGCTCTTCCAAGGATGTCTCCATTTCCACCATAACTACATCCATAAACCTTCTCTTCTTCTCTTTCCTTCATTTCTTAGCTTTATAGACATCTCAAATGGTTGGAACTTAGCATTGATTTACTGATTGTTCCATTATGTGTCTTCAAGTCAAAAGCAGTTCTTAGTAAGACCTTCTCAAGGGTTATTTGGGCCCAGCATGGTCCTTGAACTCTTCCAGTGGCACATCTATCATCATTATGAGTGAGTCCGCCTCACTTTCTTCTCCTTTTCTTTTTTCTTCCAGCTTTCTCAACCTTATGAACTTCTCCAGAAAGCTAAGTCTTTGCATTGAATGATTAAATGCATGATAATAACTCTTATGAGTCATGATTCTTAGTAACCACACAAATAGATCTTTTTCATGACTCAGCCCTAACCTGGTTCTTCAGATATTTCAAGCATGTCCCTATCTCCTTGCTGCTGGTTGTCCTCTTCCTCTCTTTCCTACCACATTTTTCCACCATGATGGACTTTTCAAGGGAGGTGGGCCAGTGACTAGCTGATTGATTGATTATGTGCCTTCAAGTCAATGTTGATTGATTGATTATGTGCCTTCAAGTCAATGCTGATTGATTGATTGACTATGTGCTTTCAAGTCAATGTTGACTTTGAGTGACCACATGGATTGATCTTCTCCAGGACTTGGTCCTTCAAGTCTTCCAATGGTCCTTCCATCACTTCTATAACTGAGCCCATTCCTCTGACTAGTTGTCATCCCTTCTTCTCTTTCCTTCCAACTTTCCCAGCATCAGAGCCTTCTCCAGAGAGCTGGGTCTTCACATCATGCATCCAAAGTAGGATAATTGGAGATGTATCTTTTGTGTTTTGAATGAGAACTCTGGATCTCTTGCATCTAAGGAAACCCAGAATAAACTAAGGACAGAGAGTGTTGGAGATTTCTGCCTTGCAAATTTGCCATTTGTATTGACTAATATATGAATTTTTCAGCTTCGGTGGTTTTGCTTGGTGTTAAGAGTTACAAAATCAATTTGTCAGTTTAGGTTCAACCCTAATTTTGACTGAGCCTTGGATGGATTTGATCTCATTCCAGTCCTTATTGTTTAAAATAACATAGGAAGCAGATTTACCCTGCTGACATCAAATTTTTCCGCCTAAGTTCTCACAAGGTGACATTTATTTCCTTCTTGTTTCAAAGAGATTCATTCTCTCTCTCTCTCTCTCTCTCTCTCTCCCTCCCTTCCTCCCTCCCTCCCTCCCTCTCTCTCTCTCTCATTGGATCACACAGTCATTAAGCAAATCCTGCTTCCCCCATTCACTTTTCTTGTTGGAAACCAGATTGCAAATGGGAAATCCCATGATCCCAGAATGCTTCAACCTTCATAAATGCATGCTGGTTGCCATGTGCCCAAATTTTGACTATGGGGATGCTGCGATGGTCATAAATTGACGACTGGGTTGTAAGTCACTTTTTCAATGCTGTTGCAACCTCCAACAGTCACTAAATGGATGATTATAAGTTGAGGACAGCTCCTTCCTGCAATCAACGTAAAATGTAGTCCATTTTATGACTTAATATCTTGCCACAGATGTTAAGTGAATCAATGCAGTTGTTAAGATAGTAACATGGTTGTTAAGTGAATCTGCCTTCCCCATTGACTTTGCTTGTCAGAAGGTCGCAAAAGGGGATCACGTGACCCTGGGACAATGCAATTATCATAAATGTGAGACAGTTGCCCAGCGTCTGAATTTTAATGTGACCACAGGGATGCTGCAATGGCTCTAATTATGAAAAATGGACATAAGTCCCTTTTTTCAGTGCCGTTGCAACTTCAAATGGTCACTAAACAAAATTAAGGACCACCCATAGTAGGTTCTTAGACTCAATAAGAACTTCTACTTCTCCTTAGAAACGAGGGGTGTGTAATATGTAAGTGTGGTCACTAAAGGAATTGGTCAGTAAATGTAGGTTGTGGATTATCTAAAAATCCCAGCTGTTGGCATTTTTTAATCCAAAAAGAAGGAATAGCAGTGTTTGTCCAGAAATGGGGTCCTTCCTTTTCACAGCTGCCAAAGCTCACCCACCTACTATTTCCTTTATTGGCCTGGGTGCCTGTGGCATGGTGAACCGCATGGTGCACTGAAAGGGGGTGAACGTTTTGCAAAGCTGGCAGCTGCCCTTCCTGGATGCCAGTAATCTGGGCATTCACAATGCAGGATTCCTTCTCTGTCAAACATTAAACCAACAGCTTCTGTAATTGTATATTGTCAGGACTGCTTTTCAATCATTCTTACACCTTGAAGCCTTTAGGTTAGCGGTGACCGGATTGCTTAAATGGATTTGCTTTTAGGCGGAGAGCATTCATTTGGAAAGAGGGAAAAAATGTCATCTCTGCCAGTTCCAACTGGCAACATCTGGATCAGCCTAGATTTAATCCCCTCCTGGCGATGGTAGTTAATTAACAGAATAACAAAGTTGGAAGGGACCTTAGAAGTCTTCTAGTCCACTCCAGTTCCCAAGCAGGAGACCCTATACCAGTGGTTCCCAACCTTTTCTATACCTCGCAACCTAGAACGCTTCTGATATATTCTGGCACCCCTTACAAAAGTTCAAAATAATGGCAACGAATTATGCATATAACTATAATTTTGAAAACCCAGGTTTTCGCACCCCCTGGAATATCACCTCTTACCCCCAAGGGATGTGAGCACCCCTGATTGGGAAGCCCTGCCCTATACCAGTGGTGGTGAACCTATGGCATGGGTGCCAGAGGCGGCACTTGGAGCCCTCTCTGTGGGCACACATGCTGTTGTCCCAGCCTCGCCTCCCCCACGACCCCTTCCTCTCCAGCAGCCCCCCTGAAGGAGAGTCACCCCCGAGCATGGCCCACGCAGAGCAGTGCAGCCAAGGACATGGCAGCCAGGCAGCGTAGACAAGACTCTGCCCTCACACCCCATCATGCAGTTGATGCTGCAGGGCATGGACAGACGGCGTGACCACTATAGCGCTACTGGGTTGCCTGGGTGATCTGCAGCAGGCCCTGGAGGCAGTGAGTGGCTCTGCGGGCAAGTGGGGTGGGGGATGGGGGCGGAGCAGAGCAGGGGTGGGCAGGGGGTGGAGCAGGGGCAGAGCCAGGTTTTGGGCACTCGGTCTCTAAAAGGTTCGCCATCACTGCCCTATACCATTCCAGACAATTTGTTGTCCAGTCCCTTCTTGAAAACCTTCAGTGATGGAGTACCCACAACTTCTGGTGGCAGGCTGTTCCACTGATTAATTGTTCTCAAGAAAATTTCTCCTTAATTCTAGGTTGCTTCTCTCCTCAATAAGCTTCTATCCGTTGCTTCTTGTCCTCACTCTCTAATAATTTCTGCCAGTCTCTGAAGTTTTTTGTAGCGCCGGCAAATTAGTGCTATCTTGATCTTCAGTCAAATGTATATTTTCAAACCAATAGAAAAGAATATTTGTAGGTCAGGGTTGAACTGCGGGGTCCTTGATGCTCTCTGAGCTTGGTTGTTTTCTTGCAGACGTTTCATGACCCAACTAGGTAACATTATCAGTTTTACAAGGGAGAGTGGTTTGGCTCAGTGACAGGGCATGTCATTTGCGCAAAAGGAGAGAGAAAACTCAACTCCCTTCCAGATTCACTTAACAACTGTGTTACTAGCTTAATAGCTGCAATGATTCACTTAACAACTGTAGCAAGAAAGGTCATTAAATGGGGCAAAACTCACTTAACAAATGTCTCACTTAGCAACATAAATTTTGGGCTCAATTGTGGTCGTAAGTCGAGGACTAGGTGTACAATGTGCAACAAGTGGGTTTTCAGGGACGGTGGTGGGTTTTTTTTTAAAAAAACACACACAAACTTGTAATTTAAAATCTTCTGTTAGAAATGTGCAGAATTCTATCAAACTGCCCCAGTTCCCATTCACTCCGTTTGCTAACTTCTTCCTCCATGTTTACTTTCACCCAGTTAGTTCTACGTTGTGATTCTTTGGTGAACGTCTCCCTCCCTGCTCTTGTACAGAAGCTTTGCGAGAATCAACCAGTGCTTCAGAACCTAACAGGTAAAATAAACTGAAGAAAGCATGTCATTATCTGGTAGCTATTTATGAGATGCCGTGAAAAGCGAAGTTGAATGTTCATTGGCCTGTGGGTGGCTTTCAATCATATTAGCCTGGGAAAACCTCCAAATTTAGAGTCAGTATATCTCTGAGTATCTTAGAACATAGAATAGCAAGAATTGGAAGGGACCTTGGAGGTCATCTACTCCAACCCCCTGCTCGAGTAGGAAACCCTATACCAGTGGTTCACAACCTTTTTAATGCCGTGACCCCCAACCGGTCGTAAGTCAAGGACTACCCAACCGGTCATAAGTCAACGACTACCCAACCGGTCGTAAATCGAGGACTTTCCCTGCCCGGGAGCACTGCATATGCGTGGTGCCGCCCCCTGCGCCGGCCAAGGCATAGCTGGCAAGCGGCAGAGACAGTGCAGGCTGACCACCGGCTGGGCTACCAACTGGTCCAGCCCAAGGGAGATAAGGCACCCGCCGGACCCCACGCAGGCTAGCAACCCTCCCTGCGCCCGCTGGCCTCCACCTCCCACTCCTGGCCCTCTTTTACTTACATTTTTAGTAGTTGCTCAGCAGGGAGGGGTGGAAACTTCCAGACAGCTAGCCTTCACTGCAGACAACTTGCGGCCCCATTTGCAAAATGGGACTTTTGGCGGGCTCAGTAGGGCAGAGACAGCCTGGACAATTCCTATTGGCTTTTGAAAGCCACTAGAATTAGACTCTATTCAAGAGAGTCTTTCAAAAGCCAATAGAATAAAAAGGAATAGAGGGAAAAAAATGGCAGACTGCGTTGTTTGGCGACCCCCATGAAATGGTCATTCGACTCCAAATGGGGTCCCGACACACAGATTGAGAACCGCTGCCCTATACCATTTTGGACAAATGGTTATCCAATCTGTTCTTAAAAACCTCCATTGATGAAGCACCCACAACTTCTGGAGGCAGGCTGTTCCACTGATTAATTGTTCTCACTGTCAGGAAATTTCTCCTTAGTTCTCGGTTGCTTCTCTCCTTGGTTAGCTTCCATCCGTTGCTTCTTGTCCTGCCTTCAGGTGCTTTGGGGAATAGGTTGACCCCCCTTCTTCTTTATGGCAACCCCTCAAATACTGGAAATTGCTATCATGTTACCCTCTAGTCCAGTGGTGGCGAACCTATGGCACGCGTGCCAGAGGCGGCACACAGAGCCCTCTCTGTGGGCACGCACGCCATAACCCAGAGATGGCAACCGTCCCTCTTCAACCAGCCACCTGCTAACTTGCCGGGATCCCACATGGCTGGTTTCCCTTCCTCCCGTCCCATCCCTCCTGGCCTCGCATGCTCTCCTCTTCCTGGGCACGACCCACTGCATCGCCTCCTCAGCTGTTGGCTGGCCGTCCAGCTCAGAGGCGGCTTCTCTGAACTGCTGGTGGCAGGTTGCGGAGCCCCAGAGTGCACTGGTTGAGGGGCCGGCAGGCTGTGGCTGCTGATGGACACTGTCGGCCCCCATGCGCTCACTGGCCTCTATGTGCGGGGGCCGATGGTGTCAGGCAGCAGCCACCCCGGGTCCTGCCTCACCTCACCCTGCGACAATGGCACCCCTGCCCTGCCTCGCCTGGTCTTGCCTCGCCTCACCCCGCAGGACGAGCCTCCTGCCCACTGCCCTACCTGCCAGAGACCCCCTGGACCTCCCCCATCCCTGTCCATCCCCCACAGGTGTCCCTCCCCACAAGCAACATCAAGGTGATCACGCCCACCTTGGCCACACCCACCCAATCTGCCATGACCACCACAACCACGCCCACCTGGCACCCGGCAATAAATAAGTGGGTTTTGGGTTGCAGTTTGGGCACTTGGTCTCTAAAAGGTTTGCCATCACTGTCCTAGTCTTTCTTTCAGTGGGATGTGTGGAGTGGAGCAGAGCAGAATGGGAGGAGGAGGAGGAGGAGGAAGAAGAAGAAGACGGGAAAATATTCACTGAGCTTGGTAGTTTTTCTTGCAAATGTTTCATGAACCAGCTAGGGAACATCATCAATGTTAGAAAAACTAGCATTTTTAAATTGAGGATTGCTTTGGTTTTTATAGGCGTGGGCCTCCTCCAGTTTTAAATTGAATTGGGTTTTAAACTGTGTGGTGTGAATTGAGTTGTGTGGTTTTTCCCTTGCTTCATTGTGAATTCTGCTGTCTTTTCCTTCATTGTTTTTGCTGTTTCTATACATAGATAGGTTTTTTTCTTCCTCTTGCCTTCACACTGCCTTGACGGGACATTTTTGGCAATTTGAAAGGGTTGAAACATTTGTATATAGGCACAGACTGGAACAAAGAAGTGAAAAGCCTAAACTGTATAAACACATACTCTAAGATCTTGGAAAACATCTCAGAGGAATATCAGAATGAAAATTTTTCTTTTCTCTTGCACTTTTTTGCAAAATGAGGAAGGTCTGTTTATATGGTGACCTGTTCCAGTTTGGGTTCTGGATAATTTCATTAGTTTTACACTGGTTTCTTGTTTTCTCTGCCATCTGTCTCTGCTGTGTCCTACTTCTGTTCTGTCAATTCCATTTTGCAGAAATATATTGCTTCTTCTACCCACCCATTCCTTCTTCTCCCCAGTCTTTCTTTTACAATCTCTAAGGTAAAATTGAAAATGTTTACTTTTTCCTTTTTTATTGCTACCATATCTCATGTACATATTGTGTATGCTGCATTACATAAAATAAAAATATTCATTAATTCTAGACAAGGGCCTGGTTCAGTGGGAAATTCAGACTCTCTGCTGGAATGGATTTGTATTTTGTCTTAACCTGGGATTCACACAGCTAGGCCATAGATCCTAGCTTGTACAAACCATAAATGCTGGATCAGTGCAATCTAGGAAGCTAAATTTAATTCACATCAAAGGTAGTCTTTGACATATGGCTGTAATGGAATCTGCCCAGAATGGCCGTATCATATGGTAGTTGTTATTGGTTAGTGATGTGGCCAATCTAATTTTATATTTTATTGGCAGCCATTAAGTGAATGTGGAAGTTGTAATGCAAACACCATAGTCACTAAATGGACAATGGGCCTGCTGAAAACCAGGAGTAAGTGATAATTTTCAGCAGAACTGTCATAAAATGTGTTCAGGGGACTGAGGGATGCTGCAAAATGGCCGTAAATGGAGCCATATTGCCAAGCACTGTGTCCGATCATGTGACCATGGAAAAGCATACCTGTCTGGCTTACTGGTTAAATCACTAGTCTTCAAACTTGGCCCTTTTATGACTTGTGGACTTCAACTCCCAGAATCCCTCAGCCAGATACACTGGCTGAGGAATTCTGGGAATTGAAGTCCACAAGTCATGAAGGGGCCATAGTTCCCCCATGCTGGCTGAGGAATTCTGGGAGTTGAAATCCACAAGTCATAAAAGGGCCAACTTTGAAGACCCCTGGGTTAAATCATCAGGTTTGAAAGCAGGAGACCATCAGTTCTGATTCTGCCTTAGGCATGAAAGCCAGCTGGATGACTTTGAGCCAGTCTCTCCCTCTCAGCCCAACCCACCTCACAGGGTTGTTGTTGTGAGGAAAGTAGCAGGAGGAAGGTGTTGGAAATATTCACCGCCTTGAGTTATTTATAAAAATAATGTGAGGAAAAAATAAAGAAAGAAAACTAAATTTAAAAAGTAAAAAAATACCTCAAATCTGGATCACGTCCCCTTTTTCGGGTCGGTCATAACTTCAAGTGATCACCACTCTGCCTGTCCTAAATAGAGGATTACCTGTACAGCTTTAAATTCTATCTTTTCTATTGGCCTTCTAGGATTTAATTTTGTCTAGATTTTCTGGAGCAGTTTTCATTGAATTTCCAGTGTTATGGTCAATATTCAGCAATCATTAATTTATTCTTTCCCCTTGGATGAATAATTAATTCGTTTTGTCTCAGAAGCTCAAAAATCTGACAAGGGACCAAGCCACAGAGTTATCAACCAAACCCAAAATGTTCTAAAAAATATCTTTCAAATTGGTAACACTTCCATTTAGCTAATGAACTGGATAAAGCTGTGGAAAGACAGTTGGCTTTAAGGCTTGACACTGTCCCTATTCATTTCACTCTCTGCCTCACTTGTTAAAATCTTAAAAGGCCCTCAAGGCTGTGAAAATATTTCTGAGAGGAACTGTATTCTCCAGAAGAAACACAATACTGGTAGTCCTCGACTTACATCAATTCGTTTAGCGACCATTTGAAGTTACCCTGGCACTGAAAAAAATGACTTTCAACCAGTCTTCGCATTTACAACCGTTGCACCATCCCCACAGTGTCCCTGAGTCAAGTGATCATTTACGGCCTTCCCAGATGCTTTCTGATAAACAAAGTCACCAGAGGAAGCCGGATTCGCTTAATGACCATGTTATTCACTTACCAATTGCAGTGATTCACTTAACAACTGTGATAAAAGAAAGCATCATAAAATCAGCTGCAACTTACTGAACAAGCGCATTGCTTAGCAACAAAAATTCTGGACACAGTTGTGGTTATAAATCAAGGACCACCGGTAATTAAGAAATCAAATGGCCTCTTCATCTATCTCTCCACCAATGGAAGTTAAATCCAGTGAGGTTCTTTGTTCTTATTAACCATCATTGCTCAAAATTGCCAGACATGGTTATTTGAGCACCCATAGTTATCCCCCATTGAGTAAGTCTCCAAACTTGACAACTTGGCTGGCTGAAGAATTCTGGGAGTTGAAGTCCATAAGTCTTAAAATTACAAATCTAAATTCTTAAGGAGCATACTTCAGGATCTCCAGTGTTGTGTTGTACCACGAGGCTGGCATGACCAACATTAATACTCATATTTGCATTTGAAGGTTCCTGACATATTTATACAGCCACACATACATACAAACACAAACACACACATACTATTTATTTATTTATTTATTTATGTTTTATGAGACTTATATAACGCTTTAAGTGCAAGCACTCTCTAAGCCAGTGGTTCTCAACCTTTTTAATGCCGCGACCCCCAACCAG